AAAAAAAAATTTCTTAAAATCAGAAAATTATATCATGTATGCCTTATTAACTATAATAGGCAAAACATGTTTAAAACCTGATGATCTTATTAGTTAGAAACGACAAAACAATTAATTACTAGTTTTTTTTTTATTATTTATTATTTTATTAATATTGTTATTTAAAGCAAAACGAAAAAGAGCAAAATTTTATTATCTAAATATTCATTGACATTTACAAAAGAAAAATTCTAAGAAAATAGAAAATGATGATAAAAAGAGCAACTACTCTATATACAAAAACACCTCACCCTCTTCTCCTTCTTGCATTTTCTTCTTCCTCCATTCTCCTTCTTTCATTATCTTCTCTTTCTTCTTCAAGCCGACGAAGTAAATTTTGAAAAGCAGCATCTCGATGTTCAAACCAAGATCGATACCTATCTCGCTCTTCTATAAGAGCCTCATGTTCTTGTTCTCGATGGACAAATTGTTGTAAATAGTCAAGAGCCATACGATTGAGCTCTTCAATAGTTGTAGCCTGGTCATTTATTTGTTGCTGCAACCATCTAAACAATATTACAATTAATAGATAATTAGTTATTTAGTTATTTTTTATTTTATTTTCTTTTACTACATATATACTTACAGGACATTATTATTATTACTATTGTTATAATTAATATTATTATTATTATAATAATAATAAGTAGTGTTATTATCATCATTATCACTGCTACTATCGAATTCATGTTGGAAAAAATGTTGAGACATGTTTGTAGAGATTAATTGAAAATACGTATAAACAGTATAGACGATACAGAATATAGCCTATTTATATAGGTTATCAAATATAAACAATCCAAACAAGTTTATTAAAACTCAATAGACAAAGACTTAGAATTTTATTAGCTTAGAATATTTTTATTAAACTTTTATTTTATTAAATTTTATTAGAATAGTTACATTAAATAATTTTATTAGACTTAGAGATCAAAAACCAAAAATTTTATTAAGAAAAAAGAAAGAAAAATAAAACATAGAACAAAGAAGAACCGAAATGACCACCAACTCGACCAAACTAAAACTCGGACTACCCTCCACCATATATCGCAATGCTTCAATCTCTAACTTCAAATCTCCTATTACTGTCTCCAAATCTATCACCTGCACCCGAAGTCTATTTCTCTCTTCTCGCAGCCTTGCTATCTGCATTTCGTGCTGGTAATTAAGCTGCACCAGCTCTGCCAAATCATGCTCTTGGACCTGAGCTTGTAGATTTGCAACCTGATTTTGCAAACCTCGGACAATAGACAGAATGGATTGGCTACGAGCAATACGTGGCATCTAGTTAATAACAGAAAAAGTTAGAAAAAGGATGCTTTTTCTAAGATAGATACACTTAAAAAGACGAAAGTATAGAAAAAGAAAAAGAAAGAAGAAAAGACAAAGAGAAAAGTATCCACCGAGGCCATACAATCAATCATGCAAGTCATGAAGAAAATCAATCGTCCAAGCACAAAGGAAAGTTAGCTCACTCAGACATGGAAGGCTGGCGATTGTCCTGAAGGAGTAAAGCCAATGAAGTTTAGCACACAGCCCGAAAAGTATACCTACTTTTTGGCAAAAGACAAAAGCAAAGACCAGGAAGACAAGTAAATTTAACAAGAAACTACTACTAAAAAAAAAAAAAAAGAATATTAGACAAGAAAGTTTTTAAAAGAAAGAACTATAGAAAAGAAAATAGAAAGGATCGTACAAGGAAAAGAAGATTTGTGTGTAAATTTTGAGAAACAAAACACATGGAAAACACAAATATAAATAGAAGTAGAAACAATAAAGATAATTTTTCCAGAACAAAGAAAATTATCACATAGTAAAAACAAAGAAAATCACAAACAATAATGATGTGATTTACAAATTTAGATAAAGATAAACAAATTAGAAATGAAAACTAATTTTAGACATACAAAAATAGAAGTTCAGTGGACCTCACAGAATTTAAGGGAGGAATAGACAAAAAAAATGCTTAAACACATACTAGGCCAAGAATTTTTGCCAAGTATACCAAGCATTGCCAAATAATGCCGAATTGAATTTCACACATGGTTGTTCTAAAAAGTAAAACCATATAGTAGATAAAAAAAAAGCACAAGCAAAAATAGAATTTTTGCATGTGATAATAACAAAAAGGATTATAATAAACTCATAGTACAACAAGTTTAGATTTTACGAAGTAAAATCTTAAGGGAAGGAAAATGTTACAAAGCAGATTGTAACACAACGTAACATTAGCATAGCATAGTGTAGATTATAGTTTATTATTTGTATATACAGTATTAGTTATATTTATTTAGTATTAGTTATTATTATAGTTATATTTATTAGTATAGTATTAGTTATTATCTTTATTATTGTATTAGTTATAGAAATATTATTGGCTAGTTAACTGAGACACAGTAATGCCACACAAGTACCTGTTAGTACCTTCACACAAGTACCTGCCAGTATCTTCATACAAGTACTTGTCAGTACCTTCACACAAGTACCTGCTAGTACCTTCACACAAGTACCTCTCAGTACCTCCATATGAGTACCTCTCAGTACCTCTATACGAGTACCTCTCAGTATCTCTACACGGTTTGGCAGTTATACCATTATATCTCTTATATGTAGAAAAGTTATAAAAAGGGAGCCTTTGCCCCTTCTACTCAAGAGAGAAAGAATTCTCTACCCTCTCATAGTATCTAGCCTTACCTTCTTACTATTCTTGTTTCTTGTATAAAGTGATATACTCCCTCTAGGGTAAACCTAGTAGGTGAGGTTATCCTCCTTGACCTATAATAAATAAAGTATTAATATATATACTGTCCCTATGTCAAACCATTTGCCTCCTGCTAGTGGAAGTAGTGCATATTCCACTTCCACCCTGTGTACACCCCAATAGCAGGGTTCCTGTACCGGGTGACCTTGTTACCTTGCTACGTGTTGACCAAGAAGGCCGTAGCATTGTAACAATACCATAATAGTGTGTAATAATGTATATGTGCATTATTTCGAAACACGCCTTTTTTTGAAAATTGCATTTTTGACTCAAAATAACGCATATGTGCGTCCCAAAATAATGTGCCCCTTATATGAATAGATCATATACAGAATTGGCTGACCCTAAATTTGTCAAATGATTCAAAATATCACATATGCGTGTTCCAAAATAACATGCAAGGCATCAAAATAATATGCATTTTATAGTATAGAACACCAAATTTTGATGCTTATATAATCAATTCTGATTGGCTAATCAATTATTATTGGTTAATTAAACATATATATTTTCTTTTTTTTTATATTAAACACCAATTTTTTAAATCATTATATAAACTTTAACCCTTAATAACTCCTTTAAAACAAAGAATAATAAAAAACCCTTCAACAAAAATATAGTTTAGCTAAAAATAAATCAATTTGCCGAAGGGTTTTTGATTTAACTTGTTTTAAAAAAGTTATAATAGTTTAAAGTTTTTATTAATAAAAAGTGGATGCGTTTTGCTGTCCGGTACTGTATAAATTTTTTAACTAAAATTACAAATAGCTTTCGAAATCGTTTGGCTCATATCACATGCAAATATCACATACACATCACGATTTAATCAACCAATCAATGGATTTTTAACCATGCTAGGGTGCCCCGATGCTCAAAATGATATCGCTCTTTGCTACTATAAGGGTGAAGGCGTTATGTTGTGTTAAAGCTTCTGTTTATTTTATGCATTTGATAATTATTGTAATATTATATATATATACATAATATTGCAAAATATTACCGAATGGCTGATAAACAGGGTTATGGTACGTACTATGGGCAGTTCATGGATTTTTAAGGAAAAGTATAATGATTGATTACATCAAAGTTTTGTTACGTATAATTTTCAAATCTACAATATTGGATATGGATGACGATTCGTTGATTAATCTTGACCCGATAAATTATTTACATAATTATTTTAATTATTTATTTAAATTTTGAATGAAGATTTATATAGATGTAGAGATTCAAATTGATTAATTTGTACTCCGATAGTGAAGTGATGGGAAATTAGTAAACCCACAGATGTAGCATATAATATACTGTATTTCTTCAGGGGTCTATGTTAACGATATTCATCCCTTTCAACAAGTTATTTATCAAACAAAAATTCAATTATCGAGTTTTTTGAATCTATCGATTTATAGTATTGTGCTTCAATTATAAAATCTATGTTTACTCTAATCTGACTTTAAACTTCATGTTAATAGTTACCACGAAGTCTAAAGTAAGATCGGACTCCTGTTAGATTTATATATATTATATACTAAAAATAAAATTTGTATTTAATGCACAATATTGTAAATTGATAGATTCAAAAACTCGATAATCGAGTTTTTGTTTGATTTTACCGAGCACTACCCTTGATTATACATTTATTATTAGTTAAAATATTTGTAAGTATTCTTTACAACAGCTTTCTTAAATATCCTTTTTTTTTTATTCGGCTAGCGCGGCAGGTAACGAACGGTAACGTCAAATTACAAAAAGAGATAGTCTCTTATGAATTAAATATATGCCATATCAGTAGTTTATATATGACGCTCTATTACATAGTGATTTGTTAATTGGTGGAATGAAACCATCTCACATCTTTTCTGCTCATATAGACATTAATAATTTTATTTACTAAAAGTAAATCCTAACGATACAAAGAGTCTAACTCTTGTTTTTAATTTTTTCTTTGGGTTTTTTATGCTTCAGTTTAGACTTGGTAGATTTAGATGTTAAATCAACTGATTCTTGTTGATCAGTTTTTTTTCGCTTTATGAAAGCTGCCTGAATAAACATCAATATTATGTTAATAAATAGCTTATGTTATACCCTGGTCACTATATCAAGATCGCAGGGTATAAACCAGTTATACACTGGGTTCTATGAAATTTCGTTTCCGCTTATACCCATGTCACCCAGCGTATAACTATTACAAATGGATTTATCAAATACGCACATAGCCAGGAAATTCATAATCTATCTCGAACTCTTCCAATCTTTTCCGCTTTTTATCTTCTTTTTTTAATAAATTATCAATTTGTTTTTTCTGTTCTTCCTGTGTTTTTTTTCTATTATGTTTCATCATAATTTCCTTTATATAAGGTTTTGGTTTAAATTCTTTATTCGCTCCAATCCACATCAATGGATTAATTTCTTCTGGCACAGCTTTACCTAAAAAAAAGAAAAAATTATATTATATATAAACATATTAAATGAATAAATAGAAATCCTTGATAAAAAGTTTACATACAGCGAAGCAGACGATTACATAGAGAATAATTATCCATTGTTTCAGCTACAATTTGAGCAACTTCATCACTAGCGAATTCAATGAATGCAAAATGCTTTGATTTTCCAGTCTAATTTATTTTTAAAAAAAAGAATTCTATCAGTTAACGTTTAATAAAATTGCTTTAAAAAAAATATTTTAAATAAATAAGATTTAAACCTTTTTATTTCGATACAATTTCAAACGCGTCACAGTACCAAATTGACTAAAGTATGATTTCATTTCATTTTCATAAAAGCCATGAGGTATCCTGCCAAGATAAATAACACCACGTTTCATTTTTTTTCCAGCCTTATTTAAAGTGAGGAAATTGAAAGATAATAATGTTTCTTCGTTCCCACTTCTATTTCAATGGGCTTTTAGTGCATGTGTTTTTATTTTTTTTGTTCCTTCAGTACTTCGAAGGTTTTTTTTTAGCTTTTTTTGATAGCGATAGAGATTTATCGCCGATTTTTTGATGGGCAAATTTTGAAAATTTTGGATCTGGCCGGCATTAAAAATCAAAATCCATAATTCTGGCCACATCACATGGGTTAACTATTGTCAAAATTTTGCCATTCCGGGCCTATTTTTGTGGGCTGTTCATGAAAACATGTAATGATCCCTTTTTAAAATTTCAAATTTTTATATCTTCTAGCAGTTTCTCAACAACTATATAATTAAACTTAATAAAATTTTTTATATTAGCGATAAATATTTAACTATTAAAAATATAAGATTAAAAATTTATATAACCAAACTTTACAAATTATAATCTGCTAGATTAGTTTAAACAATTTGTTATATTAAAAAAAAACTGTAACTAGTGCTTAAGTTTATATTATTTTTTAAATCCTTTTCAAAATCAATTTCTTTTCTTTTTTTTTTATTTAAAAGAAAAAAAAAAAAAAAACAAAAAAACATATGCTTATTATTTAAATTTTGTTTACTAATGTATTGTACAGATTTGTACAAAATGTGTTGCAAAAGAAAACAGGCGTCAATTAATAGGGCCTAGACATTAAAATTGGTTTATTAAAGTACTTATTAAATTTACCTAGGTAGCAAATTCAATCATGAATTTAATACTGCCAATTATATCTGTCAGCACTATTAGCCGGAAGATTTCCTTTCGTAAGCTCGTACATTATTTCTAATAAAATGGATGAAATTACATTTTTATAGATTCTTATAGTAAAACTAATCGAGAATATATAATATATCCCGGATAATTGGGTATAACCGGAATTTATTTCCGTTTGTACACATATGACCCAGGATTTCACTAAAAAATGACACTTTACCTTTAACTTTTAAAGGGCTAGCTACTCCACACTCGATACAAAACTATTATATTTAAATTAAACTTGCGGGTTAGATATATGATTATACTAAACGATAAATAAAACTAATTACCTTGAATAATCCTCCTGGAAGAGGTACTCCAACTTGAAATGATGCAATAGCAGCCGCTGCTGTTGCGATTTCACTTGCATTATATGTAACAGCAATTATTGTACGGCGGAGAGACTCTAGAATTTGTTCGTACGTTTGTCTAGTGAACTTTTTCCAAATTGCATCCAAAGTACATGTCCCCCCAGAATTCTCAAGTATCGGAGAAATTATCTTATTTACCACGGCATAAGGTGTGTCTTTTGCAAGATCAAGACCAACAGCCGTCATCAAACAATTTTCATAGTGAATAACTGATTCTTTTCGTTCAAGAAATGTGGAACTTTCCTCACTGGGACATTTCGTTTCGCTCGGCCTCGGCCTGTAAAAATCGTTCTACAATTAATATCAACAATCAAATACAAAATAATACTATCCTGAACGTTATACAATGCTTACCTCCAACTGCCTTTGATTGCATTTGCCACACCAATCCTACAATTTGTAACCTTTCCAGCAAAGAGCATACAGGCTGCTATCATGAGATCATTATCATGTTCAACCTGATGTGCGTATAATTCTGGAAAAGCTTTCTTATCTCGTTCTAATTTTGCATGGAACCTTTGATAGAATATTAGCGTTGCTGCCATACAATTCATAGGTAATTGTAAACGTAGACAAGATTGAATTATGTGATCAATCATATCTTGGCGAGCGTTAGTAATATTAAGTTGTGGAGTTTTGAATCTTGAATTGGCATTAAAATAATCATCATATTCGCAATAAAATGCATCTTTACGATCTTTAAGCTCTGCTTTTGCATCATATATCGGTTTATAAGGTCGTGAACGTTCAGATACCGTATTCTCATGAATTGGAGAAAAATTAGCAGCATTAGAAGTTTCAGGACGAACCGATGCAGATGATCGAGATTCAGTCTTTGAATGTTGCCTGTCAGTTGACTTAGTGACTATTATATAATAACAGTAAAAATTTGCTTTAGAATCCTTTCAATAAATAGAAATGCGCGTCTAAATTATTAATACTTTTCAAATCAAAACAAGTCCGTACTTTTTTTGGGACGATATGAATCATATCTTGATCTTTGGCTTTGGTAATTTGGTCGATAAGAGTCGGCCTGTCCGCGAGCCAAAGATCTATGAGAACTGTGATGGGGAGAAGAGCTACGACGCGATTTTTCTCGAGATTTTGAGAATTCTCTCCTGCTACTGTTCATTCGATCAGAAGATCCTGACTTACGGTTCTTTCGTGAAGGAAATAAACCAAGTCGGGAGACTTTTCTATCTCGAGATATAGTCTGTGAACGTATATGCCTAGGCGATTTTGATCTTTTCTCATATTGTGGTGGTGAAATACGAGATCGAGACCATTCTCTTCCATTATTTCGACTAATTGGTGATCTAACCGGGCTTTTCTTATCCAAATCGCGAGTTCTTAAACTTTCCTTCCTATTATAATTACGACGTGATGGCGACCTGGATGTGCGGTCATTTCTAAATTTTGTAGTACTAAGCATCACGAAATTTTGTAGATTGTTAAGTATCGATCACTAACTGTTAATAGTAAAAATGTATTTTGATTGGCTGTTTAAAATACCTCGAAATTCAATTATCTTTTATGCATTTACTATTGGTCGTAGGAGTGTCGTAAGTCACATTTTTGATGATCTGTGTTAAAGGTTAACAATTCAGCAATAACAGATAACATGATATCGTCGACCAATAATAATACAAGACTTTTAGAAACTACAGAAAAATTTTCCCGAATTTTAAAGTTAAACTTTAGGATTAACGTTTAGATTTAAAACATTAAGTAAATAGCACACCCCGTGAATTTCATTACCAGTAAGCATTATTAAAATCAATAATAAAGAATAATGATATATCAGAAGTGATAACAGATAGTATAGATATCCCCAATAAATTAATATCGATATCGATATATCGATATGAAACCTTTGTAAACCTTTGTGTGTAAAAATTTTTGTGTATACTTGCCTCATGACACAGTCTGTAAATAAACTACGCGATTAGGTAGTAGTGATTAGGTAGTTGAGATAAATGATTGGCTATAATTGGATCACCGTAAATATCGTCACGAAATAATTTCTAACTGTGTCGCCTAATTAATTACTTTACGATTCTTAATATTCGTTTATTTTCGAAACCTCATGGACTCGTTTAATGGATATCGTTCGAAAGAAGAACCACTTTCTGATCAACAGCTTAAAAGTATTATTACTCTTTTACAACGTAAAAAAGAACAGCCACATGTCAAGGAATATACTATGCAGTTCCTCGAAGAGGCACTACATTATGTTATTAGATGTCATGAAGAAGACCCTTCAAGACATTTGTTTTGCACCTCTAAGTTGACCGCTATCACAATTGAAATGTTGCCATTATTTGCAATACCAGATCCAGAATCTAAGATTCTACAATTTCGTCAGATAATTGAGGAAGAACTAAAACAATGTTTCTTATGCGTCGAAGTATTCCATACTGAACAAAAGCAACTCTATCAAAGGTAATTTGACTTCAGATTTTATAATATCTTAAGACCGTGTCGAACCGTGTTTTTACTTTCTTTTTCATATTTTGTTAGATATGTTAAAGTATACTGCAACGAGAGAGAGTGTGTAGATAAGTTCGTCTCGAATTTAAAAAAATGGATCAAATCAAGAGTATTTTGTGAGCTAGAGATGATAAAACAAAATTTGGGACAAGTGGGTCCGCTTCAGCTGATAGGATTGGAGAATCCTCCAAATGGTGCAAGAATTACAACGGCTTTTTTAGAAGTACTTCTCGATCCATTGTTACTCATAGGTTTGAATAATTTGTTCGTTGACATTTTGCTACATTTCAAAGCCGACGAGTCATTCAGGTTAACATGCCGTTATCTGCCGGGTGTATTCATTGTCGCATTACATGATAATGACGATGTAAGAAATTGGGCATGGATGTCATTGCAAGGAATGACTAAGACCCTTGATATGAAAGAATTTCAGAGTTGTAACTTTGCGTCATCAATTCACGCTATTTTACTAAAACTTAAAGGTTTCAACAATCCTCCTAACAAAAATTCAATACAATTTATATTCACAAAAGATTTGGCCAATGCTTGGAAGGGTGTTAAGTTAATCTTATATGTCATGGATCAAAACACAATTCTAAAAAGTTTCTTTGATCGTGATTTGAACTTCATTCAGATACTCTGCGAATGTCTACAATCCTTTTCCAATATCAAAGAAAACAAAAAACTTGTTTTCATCGAAATACTTGGCTGTTTGGAAATTCTCTTAGACAAATTTGGAACCCAATTTTGGTATATCATATCATATTCTCCTATACCATTTTTCCAAAGTTTGTTTACTGCACGTTTTTCTATCAGGACAGAGCCATTACCTCCCAGAAAGCTGCGTGAAATTTTCATAAAATTTTTACTAAAAATACGACAAACTTTTCCGGATCAACATATTATACCATCAGAACAACTGGCTTCTGAGGAAACTATATTGATGGCAATTTTAGATGAAAACCAGGATGCTATGGAAGAAATGTATATTGAATGTCATTCATCTTCGTACCTTGTTAATAATTCAAGGCTCAATCTTCAACTGCGAGGCAGTTTGTGGAACAGTGTAATTACATATATGTTTGAAGATCTTATTTCATCTGACGAATACTGTGCAGAAATGAATGTGATATTGTTAAAATATATTCGTAAAATCATCTTGATGGACATAATAAGACCAGGACGACATCTTGACAAAGATCAATTAGCTTTTTTCAACGACTCATTAATGAAGCTGCAAAAACTGATTAATAGATTTTTAAGGAAATTTTATAAAGAAGATTCGAAGATAATTGCAAGTGCTTTGCCATTGAAGAATGTTTCCTCTTCAATTGCCTATTTTCTCTTTTCAACAAACGAATCATTCATGATTGAAAGTTTAACACTTTTGAAGAAATTTTATCCTATGAACACTTATGTAGAATGGGTTCAACATTGCACAAAACCTATTATAGAAGGGATAGTAGAAATCATTGATACATTCGCCAAATGGTCTGAATATGAATGTGATACTTTTAAATTGGCTGGAAGCATACAGCAAATATTATTGACTGTATTTTCTCCAACTATATTTGGTGATAGAGGCTTATCGAAAAATCATTCATTATCTGAGGATAATATTCAATTGATTTTTGGATACTGGAAAGCTTTATGGAATGCGTTCACACACGTTTTCAAAAAATATGATGACTTAGTTTATGCAACTGTTCATCAAGAAGTTATTATTCAAGTATCTAATTATGCGGAGTTTGCAATTGAAATACTAAAGCAACATTCAGTTCCAGCTTTTGGATCTATTAGTCCTGTTGGATTGACAGATCCGTGTTATCAAACTCTAAAGTTCATTATTGGTTTATTAGAATGCAGAAATAGTAATCTGGTAAAACGATTACACCATTTAATTTGTGACATACTTTACGTTTTGACTAAATATCAATTAACTATAGAGAATACTCTGTATGTTAAATTGATGAGAGTTTCAAATGAAAGTGAAAGTTACTTGAATGGTAAAGAGCGAAATGACTTGTATACCGCATTATCCAAACACGTACCGAACGAACATTTAATGGAATCGATGTGCGAAAATAACGAAAGTTCATACATGGATACATCTTCATCAAACCATTTTACGGTACCTATAAAAGAATATAAAAAAGGTACCAAATGTTTAATTCGTGAAAATGAGAGAGGAAGAAAAAAAGTGAAAAAAGTAAGGTTTGCGTAAATAATATAGTTATTTTATAACTTGATTAGCAGTATTATTCTGAACTGAGTTTAAATAGTCATTTATTTTCTAGCTTATTAAAAAAAAACAAAAAAGAAGTGTGCTTAATGCATAAAATGTAGCAGACTTTGCATATAATAATAATAATGCTGTATATAAAAAAAGAAATATAATTTTTGATAATATTGGTTTACAAAATAATACATATACCCTTTAATAACAACCCGGCGATTGTTACAGTAATTTAAAATTTACATTGAATTTTTTACGAATTAAAAAACTATTTCACGGCTTAGGAAAATCTTAACTTTACAATTAGTAAAGTCGGAATTTGTACCATTAGAACGAAACCCTTGATCTTGAGTTAATTGTGGAATAGATAAAGATGACAATGGGTATCAAGATCGAGACCGGGTGAGTTAGCCCGGTCTTCGTTTTGATCATAATTCTTATCGATGCTTCATCATTAGATTAATTAATTTCATTTCATTTTCTATCATTGCCGTCACCTTCATTGCTTTCTTCGATTTAATTATTATTATTATTATTATTGTAAATATATAAATTTAAAATATTTTTAAATTAGTTTTTAACTATTTTTAACCGGGTAATCTAACCACCTCTATTTTTATTTAGAGTTAGAGACAATTTTAATATGAAATAGAGGTTTATATAATATAATAAAGGTTTATATAAAGATCCAAATTTAGACATAGAAGGTTGGCGATTGCCCCAAAGGAGTAAAGCCAATGAAGTTTAGCACATGACCCAAAAAGTATACCTACTTTTTGACAAAAAGCAAAAGCAAAGACCAGGAAGACAAGAAAATTTAACAAGAAACCATTACTAAAGGAAGAAAAGAGTATTAGACAAGAAAGTTTATAACACAAAGAAATATAGAAAGAAAAATAGAAAGGATAGTACAAGAAAAAGAAGATTGGTATGTGGAATTTTGAGAAACAGAACACAGAAAAACAAAAATATAAATAGAATTAAAAACAATAACAAAGAAAATTACAAACAATAATGATGTGATTTACAAATTTAAACATTGTTACAAGTGAACTATAGCCTTCTTTAAAATATAGTACTTGCAACACAGCACATGGCGACAGGGATCTATGTAGGGTCAGAATAGATATGAAGCGGTGTGGAAGTGGAATATTACTTCACTAGGGCAATTCGGTATAGTTTTGGTAAGAGCAAGATATATGTTTATTAAGATATATTTATTTACAGTACAATATTAAGATAATAGGCTATCCTAAGGTTTCTATGCCTAAGAATTCTTTTAACTTAAAGATTGTAGGAAACAAATCTTAAAGTACTAGGAAGGAGAAAAAGCTAGGGTTTATATAGCTTTTACAACACATATCAAAGAATATAAAATATAAGAAACAATAA